CGCGGGGGCGGGGAGGGCGGGGCCACGCTGTGCATGTGGCAGCCTCACATTCTGTGCACGTCACCACGGTGCAATGGCGCCCCACCCAGCTCCGGGGGACGTCGCGGGAGCACTCACGTGCAGCGGCCGGTAGTACTGGGCGACCACGCCGTACGTCCTGTCCCCACAGACGTTGGTCAGCACCAGGAAGTGGATGCGGTCCTCCTTCAGCTCAGAGGCCACACACATGCCTCCTGCAGGTGGAGGAGAGAGAAACGGGTTTGGGAAGCCTGGGCCGAAGGCCCGTCCTGAGCACCGCGGCGGTGGGGGGTCCTGGCTGGTCCCCGGTTCATAATCCCCGAGACCAAAACATGAAGCCCGGAGGACACGCCGGATATTTCCATGAACTGGCCAGTTTGTGGAAAAAAACGCGACCCGTAGTTCTGGTCCCAGGGGGCAGGGCCGGCTCACTGGACATCATCTAAGCGTCCGCAGGGCCTCCGGCGGCCCAGGCTAAGTCCGCGCTGGAAGTCGTCCGGAAGCCCCAAGCCAACCGCGGGACCGGTAGTCCTAGGGGACTTCCGCCTTCCAGGACTCCGGTGTCCCCCACACGGGCTGCCTTGGAGCTCTGAACCTCCCGAGAGCAAGACGGCTCGATCCCAGGGACCCAGGGGTGGCGGGGACACGGGGGACCCTGGGGTGGGATGTGGCGGACTGGGGGTGGAGGGTACCTGGGGGTTGGGGGACGCGGGGGAACCGGGCGTAGGGGGGACCCAGGGGCGGGGGCCCACCCCGGTGGCACTTTGCTGACTCCTGGACACAGTCCGCGGCGGCGGCCTGAGGCGCGCCCGGCCCGGCCCGGTACCTGGGAAGCACAGCTGCGGCAGGGCGAGCAGGTCCACGCCGTTGGGGATGCCGACGTCCTCCGAGCCCGGCCCCTGGGAGCCGTCCGCGAGGCCCCTCCCGGGGGGCTTCTCCCTCTTCTTCCTGAAGGAGCGCCTCTTGGCTTTGCCCAGCGTCGGGCAGTTGGTGCCGGCTGCCTGACCGTCGTCCTTACTGGCGAAGGGTGGCACGAAGACGGACAGCACCTCCGGGCTGAGCGCAGGCAGGGCCCTGGCTCCCTTTTTCTGGGCGACCTGAAACGGGCAGAAGTCAGCGGCGCAGCGCCCGGCCCTCGCTCTGCTCCGTCCCGTCCGCCAAGCGTCCACTGCTCCTCCTCTTTGACCCCCCGGGACCCGAAGCGAGCCGTGTCCCACCGTCAGGGTCGCGGCTTCTCCCACCAGCGGCCCGTGATGTCGGGGCCGCCTGGGAAGCTGTGTGAGGGGCTCGTCGGGGCCGCATCACGG